GGGATTAGACCCTTAACTGAGTTTAACTACTCATGTTTATTGAACTAAACATGAGAGCAACTGAGTACAAAAGATTAAACATGATAAAGAGCAAAAGGTTAGAGGATAAGAGAGTAGTAGCAGGGCAGATTTTGTCTACTCCCTTGGAGAAGTGTAGTTTGTCACTTGCTCGAGTGACGTTCTGCACTCTAGCTGCAGCTACTACTCTGTTTCTATCCAGCTAACTAACTAACTACTCATGTTTTGATCTGATTCTAACTTCCCTATGTACTTTTTTCCTAACTGCTATTGGTTAACTATTTATAGAGATTTGGGGAGGCTTGGATTGGTTGAGATCTTGGCTTTCTTCTCTGCAGCAGTAAAGGGATGTGGCAACTTGTAGAAATGAAGGTTTGTTCATTCAACAACTTGCCCAATTGGCAAGTTGATGCCTTCTCTTTGGCTACTCCTTCTCTTCAGTTGTCACCAGCCACCTTCCTCTTATCATTGCTTTTCCTTCTTAGTCTTCTTCTCCGGCACCTCTTTACCAATTTCAACCATAAATCTCCATTTTCATTCTTTAATTCTCACCAGCAGCTCTAGCAGCGGTAGCAAGCAGCAACATCAGCAGCATGCTTCAAGCAGCAACATCAGCAGCATGCTTCCCTTCATCATTATGTTTCTTCTTTTTCAGCCCCTAATTCAGCCTCAATCTACTGCTCTATTTTTCCTTTTCTCCTGCGATGATCTGCAGCACCATTTCTCTCCTCCTACAGCAACTATTCTTTCACATCAATCGGTAGCAGCAGCAAGTAGCAAGTAGCAGAGTTGCAGCCACCTCTCTCTTCATATTCTCCCTCTTTCTCTTCTTCCAGTTGAGGTAGACAACAACTTGTAGTGATGGTAGTGCACATCCTTCGTTTGGCAGCAAGATTTCACGTTTTGCTCTTCCTGATTGACAGCAACAGCAGTAGCAGCAACATCTCAGCAGTATTATCAGCAGTAACTAAGAGGCTGCAACTCCTTCTTCCTCTCTTGGATTCCTGCTGCATAATTCAACAACTTCTGATCAAGTTACATCCATCTTTACTTCATCAGCAAGGATTCCTCCTCTGGTTCAGCTCCAATTGCTCCTTCCATCCCTTGATTTCCAGCAGCTTCCAATATGGTCCATATTTATGCTGTTTTGTGCAATTTGGCCCCAATTTATACTAATTTTCCACATTGGCCCTCCGATCACCCTGAAATACAAAATTGACCCAAAAGAAACTAGTTCTAACTAATTGACTCCTAATTCTAAGTAAAAATGAGTAGGAAAATGCTTCCAAAAAGGGGTCTAGTTTAAGTGTTATCAGCAGGTTGTTTGAATCCATTGAATCATGTTGGATTTGAGCTCAAAGTTATCAGCCTCTACATCAGGAAACACTAATGGTGACTGAACCGCCTCTTGTTGAGGGATGAAGTAATCTCTCAACAATTGGGGTTGAGCCTGCTAAATTTCAGCTCCACCATTGTTCCCGACGTCTTCTCCAGTTAGAGCTTCCATGGTATCAGAAGTTCCCTCCTTGGCTTCAGCAGCTACACCAGCATACTGTCGTCTGAGGTGTCTGATTTTCCTGGAAGTGGATTCGATTTCGGTGTCAAAGAACAACTCCTCAGGGGAATTGCTCCTAGTCATGCACGATAAACCAAAAAGCCAAAAGTAATAGGTAACAATGAGGGTGAAGATGATAGTCTTAAGACAAAGGTGAAATGCTCTTTTGTGTGCAAAATTGTGAAATGTTAAATCTATTCAGGGTCAAAAGCCAAACTAACATTCAAATGATCGTTGGTCTATGAAGTAATGGAGGTATTTATTAGTGATAACATCACTTTGAATTGCTTGAAATTCACTCCACTATCAAGTGAATAGAATTTTTTGTTGTTCACATCTATCCGGAAACAAATGCATATTTAGGAATCCCTATTATTCTATTATTGTATTTTTTTACTCTCTCCGTCCTAAAATTATTGTCCACTTTGCCAAAAAAAATTGTCCCAAAATTATTGTCCGATTTCACTTTTTATCAATTAAGTTACACATTTGCCCTTTGTCAAAAATAACTAGTCGCCAGAATTCATCCCGTATTGGCTAAAAACATAACCCACATAAACACACTATAGCGTCAAAACAAAGCCCAAATTATAACGTTCAAAGAGGCAGTGAGAACGAGGTGGCCGGGTGGTTTTAGTTGGAGAACTGTAAAGAGCAAGATATTTAATAATGTTTTTTCAGTTTCTGATAGAGGAAACTAGATAATTAAGCTCAAATAGACTTCTTGACATTCTGAGTGCAATGAGTTCAATGGAATTTAAAGCAAGTACGTTGAACAAATTCCTTGTTTGAACAGTCAAATATGGGGAAGAATCCTTTCTTGACCATTGAATAGTGAGAACTTTCTCCGATGCAATCCATATCGACGATCGAGGAACTCTCGGGTGAATTGAAGAATTTGTCTCATAAACACCGAATTGAAACTAAAGAAGATTCTCCAAATCGGAAATTCTTTATCTGAAATTTTGTTTTGATTATAGTCGCTTGAGTGGAGGAAAAATGAAGGTGATGTTCTTGCGTTTTGATTTAACTGGGTTTGGTTTTCGAATTTGGGAATTGGGTTTGATTGAACTGGGATTCGTTTATGAGAATTCATAAAATCATGGCCGGTTAAAACAATTATGTGTGCAGGGGGTATATTTGGAAGTTTAAGTCAAAAAATAGTTAAGTTTGACCAAAAATAAAATCTTTCAACTTAGCTAAACTGGACAAAAATTATGAGATGGAGGGAGTAATAAGTAAGTCTTAAGCATTGCTTCATATAATATGAATTGGGGTATTGTGTAAGTCATAATTTTTGTCAAGTTTTCTGTCAACTTAGGTTTTAGTTGATCGACTTCTTGATGGTGTTGATTCTTGAAGTTGTTGTTTCAACTTTAAATTACTTGTGTGTTTTACCTGCTTGAGAAATCGAATTATCCATCGTGAACTTGATTTAAGAAGAGTATCATACAAACATTTTAGGTTTCGTATAACTCTTGGAAATTTTAGATCCATATGATCTTGAATCGGTCTGAAATAGATAGAGCACTTCAGTGTTTCTAGGGTACCCTCTGTGTGTGTGTGTGTGAAGAGACATGTATTTGTTTTAGGGTTTACTTCCTAAAGTTTTGTTTATGAAGAGTTCTTTATTATGATAAAGTACAATTATGGTGATTCTTTATGCATAATGTTATGAATACCCCAAAGGAAATAAGATCTGGGCCGGATGTAGTTGGGAGAAATAGAGGGTTGAGAATCAGACTTGAAAGAACGGGAAGAGAGAAGAAGAAAGAGGAGAATTTTCAAAATATTTCATTAACTAACTAATCCATTTCCTATAGTATTACAAGACTTTATGGTTAACTAGGGTATAAACGATGACGTTTTTTATTACTTGGGCTATTACCTAACATATTAAGTATCTATTTGTAGTACATTTCTTAATAGTTAAGTGTCTTGAAATTTTTACGTGACAATACTTATTAGAGAATCTTAACCTAATTTGGTACAGTATTACTCGAAATTATTTAACTATTTGATAACTATATAATTTCAAATTTGTATATTGTCGAAATTTTATTTGGAAAAGGTTATGAAAAAGTGCAGTTTTATGTGTATGTGCATGCATAGCCTGAGTTAAATTTTTGTGAGTTCAATTACAAATTAGCAAAGGGTAACTAGTAAGGTATGTTCTAGATCCTTCTCGAAAAGTTGGAATATTTGAATAAATTACTTGATTATGTATGTTCGAAATTTTTGAATCAGAATTTATTCAGTAAGCCAACTTTGTGCATTTATTTAATAAGTGAATTCTAGTCCCAATTGGATTTGAATTTTATTTGTGTAAATCGTGTTCCTCTTTGGAATGTTCTTATTTTGAAGGAAAATAATATGTACAGTGAAAAACATAGAGTTAAAAAAAGAAGAAGAAAGATAGAGAGAATGAAAATATATAGTTAAAAGATATAGTGACTAATGTGAACATAATAATAAGGGTAAAAGTGTAATTTTGGAAGAGCAAGATGTTAAAATTTTAACATTAACAAAATAGAGGGTACACATCAGTCATTATATCTTTCACTTTATATTTTTCACTATACAAATCATTTTTCAAAAATAAAAATAAAAATTAGTGACTGATGTATAGTATTATTACCCTCTATTTTGTTGGCATTTTGTAGTTGAAATTTTATATTTCCCCAAAATTACACCTTTAACCCTTATTTTAATACATCAATCATTATGCATTTTTGCCATAAATTGCTAATCATTACTTTATTGTGGATGTGTATTTAATCAAAAAAGCAATGATAGACATAATGACAATATATACTAAAGCGGGATATCAATTCGTAAAAGACCAAAATACCACCCCAGTAAATTCATAACGATCAACATAATTAGAAACAAGTAAATATACATACCACATTAATCACTATCTTTTTTTTTACTATGATTAATATCATTTTCGTAATAAAAATTCTTTCCTTTTTGGGATAAGTTGATGATGAAGATGCATAACTTATCACCTATACGGTTAAAGTCTTATTGCACTCATATTTATTTTGTCTCGAAATTAATGTTCACTTTGAAATTTCACTTTTAGTACAATCACTCTCAATTTGTATTAAAAGTGAAATTTCAAATCCAATTTATAATAAAAGTGCTCTAAATTGGATTTTAATTTCCAAATAGAGAGAGTAATATTCTTTTGCTCATAATAAGAATTATTTTTATTTTTTTCAAAATAGCAAAAAAGGAGTACAAAATTCTGTGGAACTTGCTGTCCCATCAGATCAGTAAACCCCTCTCCTCACAGGTCCAGTCAGTGAGTCAGTCTCAGAACATTAAAAAAGGAACACGCATGTAAGCACTCAAAACAAAAGAACATTTACAACAAGATCTAACAACAATTGACATTAACGTGCGCCATTGTGGTTGATGTTAACGTAATCCTGCCCCTCCTGCCCGAACCCCCGCCCCTGCCCGTAGCGAACCAAGTAAGTAAGTAGTACCGCCGGGTACAAACCCATTTTCTTTTTGCCGTCTGGCAAGCTAGCGCCCCAATCCCCATCTCTCTTTATCTCACGTCATCTCTCTCTCTCTTTCTCTCTCTCTTATTTTCGTTTTCGTAAAATTTAATTTTTTTTTCTTTCCCCTTTCAATTCGTCTCTCGTTTTTTTGGTCGATTTCCTATTTTTGCAGCTTGCTCTCCATCGTTATTCCTCTATCAATCAGGTAAGTTTTGTTTCTTATCTTGATAATTGTATATTCTCATTCATTCGTGTTAATTTATTTTATCTTTTAGTTTGCGAATTCGGATGCATTATTTGAAAACAAAAACGAATTTAATCTGTGCAGATCGGTGAATTGAAGCTACAGGAAAGGAGCTGAGGTTACGAATTGGGTTTGATTGAGATTAAGGACGATCTAGGGTTTTGAAGGGTTCTAATAGATTGGACTCTCGAAGTTGGGTTCTTTTTATTAGGGTTTTGGAAAATTGATAACCGGGGTTGAATTGATGGTGGTTCGAGGAGGAATTTTGGGGGAAAATGCTATTCGGATGCTATTATGTATGGGAGGGAACAACGGGAGGGTGAGAATCATCGAAAGGGTATTCAACGTGAAAGTGGCTGCGGTGGTCAGCATATGCGGTCTGTTTCTTTGAGCTTCAACACAAGGAACAGTTTAGCTACCAGCAAAACGACTCTTGTCTCTGACTTTGGTGCCACCGCTTCTATTGAGTCCTTCTGCAAGGTATTGGCATGGTGGGCTTTTTCAATCTGCCTCGCTTTGGGCATAGTTTCTGTTTTTTAGCTGTAAATTATGATTGACTTTGCATTCATATTTTACTTGTGGAATTTATGCAAAAAGGTTCTTTGTGCTGGAAAGAAGTTATTGACTTCCTTTCTTGGAGAGCGGGAGAGTTAGTCCCTTGAGTGTTGTGTTGTCTTGTTAGGCGGCTGGCAAGGATGTGGGTTTCGGCGGAGGATGGTAATATATTCATATTTAGTCAGCGACATAATGGCATTTGTCGTGGAGCGCATTTTACCATGTATTATCTCGTCGTATGTTATCGTTTCTTGTCGTATTCTAAAATCATGGGAAGACGGCAGGAAATGCTTCTTTAAGCTTCTCAAAGCATGGTTTCCCCGATTCTTTTTCTCCTGTGTGGCGAAAGTTTCTTTCTAGTTTCTACTATAGGACATCTTTTCATGGCTGCTCCATTTTGTTTAGTTTTGTGCTATGAAGTGATCATTGCACCGCACAAAGTTATGTTCTAGGTACTGGGCTTCATATTTCTGCATGATGCATGGAAAAGTGGGTTCCTTGACTTGCATTTTAGTTGTTGCGGTCTTGAATACTACTCTAGAATGGGTCTGAAATCACCACTTTGGTTAATGAGATTGCTGCCGTGCAGCGTCTTTCTGTATCCTTTAAGGAAGTACAAGTAGTTCTGCGATACCCACATTGATTTGCAGCTTTCTGGACTTATGGATTATGGTTTCGCCTACTATGCCATCCTATTTTTGATATCTAAGTCTAACTGTAGTTTCCAGCAGAGAGTTTTGGGTAATAGAATTCGAGTGATATCATATTCCAGAGCTGTATAATTTGTTAATCGACCAGGCTTGACTAGTCTTTATGATAATCAGGAACAATTTTGGTTTTCGCCACTGGTTAAGGTATGAAAAGGTTGGAGTAATGGGGTTTTTTTTAGTAGATAAATTTCCTTTATGGGTGTGAATTAGGATATGGTCAAATCATTTGTCATGTAGTTAAACACCTGCCATAGACAGCTGTGGCAGTTTCTTCGGCAAATGGTGATCATTGTTATATTTTGCTATAATAATTGTTTGAACGTTATCATCGGAAGATTAAGTTGCAGATACTGGTTGTGCTGATGATGCTGAATGTTACACCAGCATTTTGGTGCACTTGTTGTCGTGAGGGTCCCTGAAGATTATATTAATGGATAGCAATTTTTTTCTTTTATTCATCTCCCTCTATGATGTGTTGAGTTTGACGCTTCTATTTTACTGTTGGCTCAGTATGTTGACAGAAGCTTTTTAGAATAATTTCGATAAGTTATATGTGCTTAATACATTCCTTATCATACTGCAGTATGCAAAGCATCTTATGGTTTTTCTCTCTGCTGAAAAGAACTTCAATTTGTTTACTGCAGGATGGTCGGAAAATCAGCGTAGGTGATTGTGCTCTTTTTAAGGCACCTCAGGATTCCCCACCTTCCATTGGTATAATCCGTTGCTTGAGATCTTGTGGAGAGAATAACTTGCAACTAGGTGTTAATTGGCTTTATCGACCAGTTGAGTTGCAGCTTGGTAAAGGCCTCCGGTTGGACGCCACGCCAAACGAAATTTTTTACTCTTTTAATGAGGATGAGATTCCAGCTGCATCGTTACTTCACCCTTGTAAAGTTGCATTCCTTCCTAAAGGTATTGAACTTCCATCAGGGACATCCTCATTTGTCTGCCGGCGGGTTTATGATGTTGAGAAGAAGTGCTTACGGTGGCTAACTGATCAAGATTACATTGATGTGAGTTCTGATAGCTAGTAGTTATTAGCCAGTACGGTTGTTTTTATTTTTTATTTTTTCCAAGTTTTAGACCAGTTTTATTTGATTATTTCCGAACCCAAATGGTAATTATGTGCCATTGGGCAATGAGTATTGCTAGTTAGTTGTCGGAAGTTGCTATGATGGAACATCTAAGATTCCCTTTGTTTTGTTGGTTTGAGCTAACTGCACCATGAATGCTTTGCAGGAACGACAAGAAGAAGTAGATAAGCTCTTACTAGATACGAGGTTAGAGATGGATGCATCTTTCCAATCAGGCAACCATTCACCAAAAATGACAAATAATTCACTGTCAGGATCACAGTTGAAGCAAGGTCCAGATAGTGGACAAGGTAGTATAGGCTCTGTTCATTCTCAAACCAAAGCTAAGAAGCGGGAACGTGGGGACCAGTCCTTTGATCATCCTGTGAAGCGAGAACGTTCTCTAAGATCAGAAGATACTGATTCTGGCATGTATAAACATGAAAGTTCATTGAGGTCTGAGATCGCGAAGATGAAAGACAGGGGTGGCCTTGTGGATTCTGAATCTGTTGAGAAGCTTGTCCAACTTATGCAAGTGGATAAAGTTGATAAGAAGATAGATTTGGCTAGTTGTTCAATCCTTGCTGGTGTGATAGCTGCCACTGATAAATTTGATTGCCTTAATCGTTTTATACAGCTGAAGGGTTTGCCTGTGTTTGATGAGTGGCTTCAAGATGTCCATAAAGGGAAAATTGGTGATGCTTCAAGTTTGAAGGATGGTGATAAATCTGTTGAAGATTTTCTCTTAGTTCTGCTTCGTGCACTTGATAAGCTTCCTGTAAATCTTCATGCCCTGCAGACATGCAATATTGGTAGGTCAGTAAATCATTTACGCTCACATAAAAACCTGGAAATTCAGAAGAAAGCTAGGAGTTTAGTTGACACCTGGAAGAAAAGAGTTGAGGCTGAAATGAATGCTACCGATGGGAAGATTGGTTCACCTCAGGCATCTTGGTCAACAAAATCGCGTCCTTCTGAAGCACAAGGTGGTAAAAGTTCTGGTGGCTCTTGTGACATAGCATCAAAGGGTGTTGCCTTGCAGGTTCCAACATCTAAAGTCACGTCAGCTAAGGTTTCACAAGTGGAGCCCGCGGGAAGGTGTGCATCACCATCACCTGGTCCATTGAAGTCTGCTTCATCCCCAGCATCCATAAAAGAAGCTAAGCTAGTAGCTGGCAGTGTTTCTGATCCTCCCTTATCTGTGAAGGAGGAAAAGAGCAGTAGTTCTAGTCAATCTTTATCTGTGAAGGACGATGCAAGGAGTTCTCCTGTTGCATCTGTGAGCATCAATAGGATATCCAGTAGTTCTCGGTACCGCAAATCTATCAATGGCTTTCCGGGATCTTTGCCATCTGGAGGCTCGAAAGAAACAGGTTCAGGTAGAAATTCCTCAACTCAGAGAAATGCTGCACCAGAGAAGTTGCAGTCTGCTTCGCTGACTGATAAGGCATCAGAAGTACCTCCTGTTGAAGGGAGCACTCACAAATTGATAGTAAAGATACCCAAACGGGGTCGTAGTCCCAGTCAAAGCATTAGTGGTGGATCTGTGGAAGAAACTTTTGTGACTAGCAGCCGAGCTTCTTCTCCTGTATTATCTGATAAACATGAACCGTCTGAACGCAATGTAAAAGAAAAGGGTGATGCATCTAGGAAAAATTTTTCATCTGATGGGAGTGCAGAGTCATGGCAGAGTACTGATTTCAAAGATTTGCAGGCTGGAAATGATGAAGGGCATGGATCTCCAGCAACTCTTCGTGAGGAAGAACGAAGTAGGATTGCGGAAGATGCTAGAAAAGTGCCGGGAGTATCTAAAGCTGTTCCTTTGCCATCTGGAAAATTACATGATGCTTCTTTCAGCCCAATGAATGCATTGATTGAGAGCTGTGTAAAGTACTCTGAAGCTAACTCATCCATGTCACTTGCGGATGATGTTGGAATGAATCTTCTTGCCACTGTGGCTGCTGGAGAAATATGCAGGTCTGATTCGCTTGCATCTACTGAGCCTTTACACGGTGACACTGCGGTGGAAGGATCCACAGGTGAGGATGTGAGTCTAAAGTCAGCAGCTGCAGAAAGCATATCACAAAACCATCCTGAGATCAAGCCTGTCGATTGTGATGGTGTAGAACAAGGTACACTTACAGGTTTGTTGTCCAAAGATGGAAGCGATTTGTCTAAGCAAGTGTCTGCCAAATCAACGGGAGATAGAGAGGCCCCTGATTTATCTGAAGCAACTTTGCAGAAAACCACCAATTTTCCAACATGTACAAGTGGAAGGTTAGATGATAATGGGGTTTCAAATTCTCCAATTCCACCGACAGGGGCTAAAAATAGAGACGGAGATCCAATTAAGCAACCTGATCGTATGGATACTGATGTCAGTTTAAAAAATGTATCTGAAGGAACGAATAATGTTGACATTCCAGTTTGCACTTCATCATCGATGAGTGAGAACAAAGATGAGCCTGGAAGGATGAATACCAGTGTCTTTGTGGAGCAGAAGCCTGCTATGTTAGCTGAAGCAGATTTTTGCCCTGATACTGGGCATGCCAAGGAGTCTGTTTCTGGTAATGTTGATGAAATTAAAGTGAGAGAAGTTGATTCACACCATGGTAGCAATTCTGCCAATCATTCTGAAGGGGGAACAGTTGCGGCAAAGACCTGTAATGTGGTGGCTCCTCCCGTAGATAAAGAAACACCTGGTTTATGTTCAGAATCTGTTGAACAAACTTCTGGTTGTTCCATTGCCAAGGCTGAGAAAAAGGAAGCTGCCGACCCTCATTCATCATGTGCCCAGAAAGAATCACCATCCAAAGATGTCATAAGAAACATGGATTTGAGAGAACCAGTAAAACCTGATGCTGAAGCAGATGAGAGGGCAGATTGGGGATCCGCTGATGCTGATTTTAAGCCAGTAAGATCTGCTAATGAACCTGAGATGGATTCAAAAGTAAGTTTTGATCTGAATGAAGGCCTGATGGGGGATGATGGGAAATATGGGGAGTCCTTCAACTCAGTTAATCATGGATGTGTACCAGTACGAGTTTTTAATCCAGCGTGTTCTGCTGTTGTTTCCAGTTGTATTCCTACTTCTGTAACTGTTACTGCTGCTGCCAAAGGTGGCTTTGTTCCTCCTGTGGATTTATTGAGAAGTAAAGGGGAACTTGGCTGGAAAGGGTCCGCTGCTACCAGTGCGTTCCGGCCTGCAGAGCCAAGAAAAGTGCTTCAGTTACCTTTGAATTCATTCAATAATTCTACGGCCGATGAATCTACTAGCAAACCAGGTCGTGCAGCATTGGACATTGATCTCAATGTGCCAGATGAAAGAGTTCTAGAGGACATGGGTTTCCTTGATTCTAATGCCCCCGTCCATTTCAGTAATAATAATCAATTACAAAGAGAACTTGGTCCAGTGACTGGACGCAGTTCTGGAGGGCTTGACCTTGATCTAAATAGAGTTGACGACACCAACGATATGCTGCTGCAGAGTTCAGTCAGCAGCATACGCAGATTAGAGATCGCACCTGCTGTATCCTTAAAGCCATCACCATCCAGTTTGCTGCCTAACAGTGGGATCAGAAATGATTTTGATTTGAATGGGCCTAGTTTTGAAGATGCAGCTGCCGAACTTCCTTCGTCAACTCATGGTCGGACCAGCTCACAGAGCAACACACAACCAGCTGCCGAACTTCCTTCGTCAACTCATGGTCGGACCAGCTCACAGAGCAACACACAACCTGCTACACCTGGTGTCAGACCGAGCAATCTTGAAGCAGGGAATTTCTCTGCCTGGTTTTCTCCTGGGACTTCCTATTCATCTATTACTATTCCTTCACCTTTACCTGATCGTGCTGAACAGCCTTTTCCGATTATTCCGGCTGGTGCCACACAGCGTATCTTAGGTCCGCCTGGTGGTAATCCTTTCACTACGGATGTCTTCCGTGGTTCAGTTTTGACATCCCCAGCAGTGCCTTTTACACCTAACCCGTTCACATACCAGATGGTCCCTTTCGGAACTACTCTACCTCTAGCATCTGCCTCATTCTCTGTTGGGTCAACCTCGTTTGTGGATGCCACCACTGGTGGAAGAATCTATACTCCTGTTAATACACAATTTCTAGGACCTGTTAGTGCAGTTTCTTCCCAATATCCCAGGCCTTACATGGTAAGCCTTTCAGATAACAATAATGGAGTTTTGGAGAACGGTAGAAAGTGGAGTAGGCAGGGTCTTGACCTCAATACTGGACCTGGTGTATCAGACATTGAGGGAAGAGAGGAGACATTAGTACAAAGACAACTTGCAATTGGCAGTTCACAAGCTCTTGCAGAGGAGCCAGTGAGAATGTTCCCACTTTCTGGCGGGGTTCTTAAGAGAAAAGACCCCGAGGGAGGGTGGAATGGTGACAACTTGAGGTTCAAGGAATCATCCTGGCCGTGAAGTCATGAAGCGATGGGAAAAATGGCAACCCTCACATTTTGTAAGTCTCTTTATCTATTACTTATCTCAATTCAATGTTTAAGAATGTGCAGGTCCGAAGTTGTGAGTACTCTTTTTGACTGAATAAATGTTGTTCTTAGGTTATTGTTATTAAAATTTTTGGTCCTCCAGAATTTCAGCTGATATGGCTATTGGTGACATTTTAATTTGATTAGTGGTTGCAACCTCAGAATGAGGTTAAATTGTAGGTAGCTTAAATCTGAAATGCTGGCTTTTCTCTGCAAATCATTAGCAGTCCTGTTCTAAAGTGTTCAGGTCATATTGGTTATCAGAATTACGTGCCCGCTGAATCAATAAATATCCAGATTTTTTTTTTTGTGGGGCATACTGTAATGTGTTGTCAAAACTTTTTGGGGGTGCTAAACAGTCTTGAGTGTTGCCTTCACTTTTATTTTTATCTGTTGTCAGCTTGATGACCTTTTAGATTCTAAATGATTGTTTCAGTTCTTGATAGGAAAGGGCCCACTCAAGAGTATGGCATCTCAATATCTTCTGGTTGGTTGGTCTTCTTCTGGAGGACAACTTGTAAGTGAGGCTTATCTTTGATATTCTAAACCTTCCGCTTGTCAGTGATTATCCACCCTCTCGCTTACCAGAAGCTTATCTATTAGGTGCTGCTCTAATGGGTTTTGTTGGCTTTCTCTCCATCCCAAGTCCTCTGGGTGGTTTAGATCCATTTCTCCTCTGTAGATATTTAATAGCCGGAAAACCTGTGATGCAACGATACTCGATAATGGGATAAGGCATTACATGTGTTTGGACTGACAATCTCTCCTGATCCAGCTTTCTGGCCAGCAGGTCATGGATGGATCTCTGGACTAATAAGTAAATTTTTTAAAGTTGCAATGATGCTAATTATCCTCATACTTGGAGATTTTCATCTCCATTGCTAGATACAGGTAGGGGTTGTCATTAAAATTGTGGTATTTGGGAACTCCATTTTTTTAGTTGATTTGGTTTCTCTTGTAAACATAAATTTTGCTTCAAAATTTTTGAACTGTACCATAGTGTATCTTTAGTTGTATCTTACGCCAAGAGATGAATTCCCCTTTATGGTCAGTATAGCTTTCTGCTTTATAACTGTTGCTGCTCTTACCAAAGTTATGAAGACTGCATGAAAGAGGACCAAGAGTTCATTTTGCCCCTGGAAGTTCCATCTCGGAACGCCGTGTTTCGAATGGTATTAATTTCTATCGATCTTATAATACTATATAATGGTGATTATATTTTTAAATTCGACTATGTTTTATTGTTTAAGGTGTTTGCCTTTTTCCCTTTTTCCTCCCCGGCTGCTAAAATGTACGTATTACCTCCAAGAACATAAATCTTCGATATGGGTGAATTGGTCAAGTTGTGAAGCAAACTTTTTAGGACACTAACATGGTTCACTATTATGCGAAAAATATTTTTGTTATCTTACATCCACAAATATTCTTCGCAGTCTGCCTACATCTTGAAAATGTTTAACCAGTCGTAAAGCCTGAGGAACTAGGGAAAAAGCTTTTTAAGTCACTCTCAAGTCACATAGTGTCACTGAAGTGTATGATTCTGTTTAAATTTCTAAACAGAAGTTGTTTTTTAGTTACCAAAAAATGTATGATGTGCATAGACTTTTAGAAAAAGGCCACATTATTTTTGTTAGTGCAAAATTGATAGCTGTTAAAATTAATCAATTATTTTTATGTATTATTAAAAGAGGAGGAATCTTCCTCAATTGAAATAACTTGGGCTAGTGTTAAAAACACTCCCAAGGCTAATTTGGATTTTCTACACACTTTTACTGTTTGAAGAAAAAAAATCACAAAGAAACTGGCGGTGCAAATGTCTTTTCGGACAAGAATTATTATATTACAAAAATTCGATATATTATCATATTACAATGACGATTGTCTCACATGTGATTATAATTTTACAATTTTGTATAATACATGTAACACTGCAATGCCCGGGTAATCTAAGTATTCAAAAAGGGAAATTCAGTTAATGTAAATCCTATGCAAATGATCCCATCACTGGATATATTGGGATTAATTTTCAAAAACCACTGGCGCAGTGTAGCAGTGGTCAACAGTCGCAGGATATGCAAATTTTGTAGTGGCTGTCGACATTAGTCGGTTGTCATACTAAATTTGTTCTCAAAATCAATCTCAAATTTTTTTTTAAAAAAAAATCACAAACTCAAACAAGAATAACAATCTAAACGGAGGCTTAGTCGTTTTCCTTTACTATGCTTACAAACAGAACAAACATTAACTTAGTTTTTCATTCTCGTATCTCATTAACATTCTCTGTTTCTCTTTACTTCCAACCAATGTGAATACTTGATCTTAAATAGAGGTGTTCATTAGATTCTGCAACTTCCTACATGATTGATGTAATTTTTCACTAGGATTTACTTCTTTATCAACATATATAATTGGTCATAACCTAGTTAGTAAGATAGTTGGTGGTTCTTTTAAAGATCTACAGATCCAATCTCATAACGAATGTATAGAAAATACTTGCTTCAAATATTTACAAATGTGGAATGCACATGAGTGGGTTCAATAAATTTCTTCTAAAACAAATCTTCCTTTGCTCCCTATGATATTAGTCTCCTTCATTTTCTTTTTTCCATTTCATCTTGCCATTTATAATTTTTTTTTTTTTTTTTTGTTTTAGATTGTAACCATCAACGGTTACATTTTATCCATTTATTTTGTTTGATGGATCTATTTTTCACTTTATTTGTCCTACACAGTCTTCTCTTTCAAGTAATGAAAGAATCTCTCAAATTGTCTTTCTTAACAAATATGGAACGTACGTATTTCATAGGTTGTCTCATTCCATTCTTAGTTTTGTGTTTGATGAAGCCTCCCTCATTTTTTCTTACAAATATGGTTCCAAACCACAAGGAAAAGGTTTTACCAACATTCAAAAGATTAGTAATATGCTTTTTCGCGAAATTGGTTACGGGAAAAAATTGTAAAACCAGTAAACAAACATTATATGTAAATTTTAATTTACCAGTTGAACTCGTCCAACATATTTGAAGAGTCCGAAGTTAAATCCTAACCTAATAGGGTTGGCCCAGTTCATTTGAAAGTTAAGCCACTGTCTTATTCTAAATTACCTATAATTAATAAACCTACTCCAATTAAAACCGCATTAAGTATGTAATCCACTCCTATGTAAAGAAGTGGTCTCTCCTCAATTTGGGACAAGCTGTATTCAAGTTGTATTTATGTAACACAACAATAATATCATCTCTATTAGTCTACTCTGTTTAAACCCTAATTCTTGCTTAATGGATGTCCTAAAGTACCATGCAGATTTCAATTTCATCAATATTATATCAAAAATCCATTTTAATAATTTATTTGATGAAATAGAAACTTGATGAGCTGTCGTCACATATTAATCCAAAAAAAAAAAATTAATCTACCCAAAATAAATAAACATAGCGAAGTGGAGTAGGATCGATTTTGCAGAGAGAAAAGTCAAATTACCAAGTTATCAAATTATTTTATTATTTAGATAAAAAAAATCACCTAAAGATTTATATTGACTAAATTACCACACTAATTAAAAGACACTAAACAACATAATAAACACATATACACACAAAAAAGAAATTGAATTCACCAATTAAATTGCTTCCCATGATTTAATTACCGTAGATAAATTTTTAATTATATTAATCTAGCAATGATTATCAAGAAAAGAATTACCTTTTTTTTAAAAAAAAAAAAGAAACGAATTACATATTCTTGTGTCATAATCCTCTTACGTATCTCAATCTTGTGACTATTCTCGTAATTGTAGGAACTTACATAAGGAAAATGATATGTATATTGAAAATGAATAGGGAAATGAGATAGTGATTCATGTGGCATGTATATACTAAATTAAACGTCCTTATTATGTTCATGGTTATGAAGTTACTGAGATGGTGTTATAGTCTTTTCACGAGTCACTATCTCGTTTCATATATATTGTTATTGTGCCTATCATTACTCCTAACATAAGTACATTAAGAACTTAGGAGTATATATTTTCAAAAGATAGTGGTCTTACACTTGTAGCAAAACCCCCAAGTGTATTATTATTTCTAACTAGAAGTAACCTTGAGCTCTCGCTTCAATAATTAATGCAACACATCGAATTATATTACTAGTGTAAAAATTTATATTTGAGATAACAAACCAACTGCTTTGAAAGTTAAAATTAACAAAGTTAAATCGTAATTGATGAACAGGGCCGGCTTAACCATAAGGCCGCTAAAGCTAGGGTTATAGGCCCCGGCTTTAGAAGGACCCAAAAAATGGTAAATAATGTATTATATATTTATGAAATAATTTTAAAATTAGTTAAAGTTAGCAAAATTTTTGATAAAAATATAAAATAAATTAGATATTTTGAAAATATTAATTAAAATTTTTTTTAATTTGAATATTATATCAATGAATTTGTATCAAAATAAAATAAAATAAAATAATAAATTTTATACGACAAAAGTTAATAATTTTTTTTTATTCATAATTTCCAAAAGAACCTCAAATTCTTATCCCACTTCAAACCCTTGCAAACCTTGAGCCGACCCTATATTAGATACTTGCGAATTTTCAAATTGTTTTATACGCAAATCACACATTTGAAGTTTTTAAATCTTAAAAAAAAAAAATAGAATTGAACAACTCAGACATGACTCTTTTTTCTAACTTAATATCAATCGTTCTTTTCCTTCTAATTTTATATTAATGGTTGGTTAATATATATATATATATATATATATATATATTTCATTTTGGTGAGACCTAACCGAGAAACTTATTACTGAGGAAGATTTTGCTTGGTTAACATGTTACCTCGCACGTTGTCATTGGTAGGGAACGATTTGATTCTTGATTTAAACTCTCATTTTTCGAACAGAAAAAAAGAAAAAAAAACTAGTACAACTATTCAATGTTTTGGTCTTACCCGGATTTTCACAAAATTCGAAGAATCTGTGGCACACGTGTGCAAAAATGATAATCAAATTCTGTCCGAATCTCTGACCGGACTTACCCGAATTGCCCCCCAGAACTTCCCTTTCGCGAAGTGGTACCTCAAGGTACAACTCCTTTCTTTTCTCCCTTCATCTCTTTTTTTTGAGTTTTTTCTCCATTGCGCTGCGTTCTCTGTCTTTCGCTGTTTTCTCTCGCTAAAATCTCACAAGGTCTGCCTCTTTATGATTAGTATGTGCTTATTCATGGTTTTGTGTTTGATTTTGGGTGGAATTTACTTTCTGGAAATCTATTAATTGGATCTGAAATTCGGGAACGGCAATTTTTTGCAGATCGGAAGATTGAAGCTATTGGAGGTGGTTTGAATTTGCGAATTAGGGTTCGAGTGTAATTCACGGCGATCTAGGGTTTAGGTGGGTGTAATTTTGGGCTTCCTGTGTTTGGGGATTTTGCTAGGGTTTTTGGGGAGTTTGTTAATTGGGGGTGGTTTTATTGTTTTCATCTTGTTTATCAGAATTGGGTGGAATTTTCATTTCTTTTTGTGAAGAAAACAACGAGGAAGGTGTTTATTTGAAGTTTGGCTGGAGTTTAATTGTGTTGATAGTGTGGTTGGAGATTGGGTTATTTGGGAAAATGCAAACCGAAAGTTATTATGCATGGGAGGGAACAAAGGGAAGGTGAGAATCAGAGGAGGATTATCATTAAAATAAGCGGTTGCTTTAATCAGCATATGCGGTCTGTTTCTTTGAGCACCACGAAAAGTGTAGCTGACGCTGAATCAAGTTTTGCTTCTAGTGTTGTTACGGATATTTCTAGTGATTCCTTTTGCAAGGTACTACCTTCTGGTTTTCACTTATAACTCTTTGATTTCATTTTGGTCTCTTCAAGTTGTATTGGTCGGTTTCATTGGATAGGTTGCTTGTTTGCTGTGGTTTTTTAGTAGCCATTTATTACAGATAGGTGAATGTCTGATTTCCACTGATGTTGGTTTGTCGGTTATTAGACCATCTGTCTTATGGTGGGTGGATGACTATTTCGTACTAAACTTTCTAAGTGATTTGTTTATTTACTAGGCCTCCATAGGTAAGCATGGGGAGCTTTCTTAAGACAGCATTTATGTGGTGAACCTCAAATTCCATTCCGTAGTTTAGTGTTGTCGTTCTGTTCTTTTTAACAATTATTGATTCCGTAGTTTAGTACCTTCGTTCTTTTCTTTTTAACAGTTATTGATTTTTAGAGGACTGGATTGGATGCCCCTTAGTTAATGTGGGCCATGATTATTTGACGAGTTTAAATTGTCATTCTATCTGTTACATCAATGTACTGCGATTTTTGCGCGTCCAGTTCTAGATGCCCGAAACATACTGGGGTTTTTGGACTGAGGTTGGCCATAATGAATGTAGTTTCCTTAAAGCCTGTGTTTTTTTATATAATTAACTAGCTTTAATTTTGTTGCAGTAAATCGAGAGTATCTTGTTTTAAAATTTTTACTGTTTTTTTTTTGTTGTATTGTATTTGTTTTTTTCAGTAATTAGCATTTATTAGGTTTCTCCTCGCACTCTCGTTTGGTTAATTTATTTGTTTTATTTCCCGTTATTGGGGATGTCTAATAGTGTAAAGAAGGGGGAAAAGTGTGCTTCAGAGTTTGATGTGAATGCGATATTGCTCTCGTCTCGATTGGTGTCCTTCTGGGGTTCTTGATATCCTGGCTACTTTGGTTAATGGGATTTAATCACTTCCAAAGAGTTGAAAGAGTAGTTGTGTATCCTTCTAACTTGCTAGCTGTTACAATATAATTTACGGTCTCGTTTTTGCTGTACTATAAGATATAACCTTATTTGGAAAGCTGACTTTCGATTAAGGAAACCTCATGCATTCAGCCTTCCTGTCCATCGCTGAAACAAGTAATAGAGTTTTTTATTTAGAAGTTTGATTTGTTAATAACTGAAACGAATGTTTTGTTACTTGCATTTGACACTATGTATTTTGATGTTCTGTGTTGTAAAATTCATTGACTGACAGAAAGTAATGTTTACACTTCCTGGTTTTGTTAATCTGGCTGGTTTGTCATAGATGTGTAATTGTTTATTAAGTTCTCAGTTTTAATAATTTCGTTGCTGCTGCCATTTCTTAAGTTATAGAAGCATGTTAGGTTCCATTTTCTGATGGAGAAGTATCTGGTTATTTGATAGGATGGTCGCAGAATTAGCATTGGAGATTGTGCATTATTCAAGCCAGCTCAGGATTCTCCACCATTTATAGGCATAATCCGTTGGCTGACATCTAATAAAGAGAATAACTTGAATTTAGGTGTTAATTGGCTTTATCGACCGGCTGAGGTAAAGCTTGGCAAAGGCATCCCGTTGGACGCCTCGCCAAACGAAATTTTTTATTCTTTCCACAAGGATGAGATTCCTGCCGCATCTTTACTCCATCCGTGTAAAGTTGCATTCCTACCTCAAGGTGTTGAACTTTCAAGTGAGATATCTTCATTTGTCTGTCGACGAGTGTACGACATTGACAAGGAGCGTTTATGGTGGTTAACTGATCAAGATTATATTAATGTGAGTTTTCTGCGACTTTTACATTAGTTGATTCTTTTGCTGGTCCCCACTTCTTTTTTTTATTTATTTTTTTTTTAATTTTTGTGGCTGTTATTTTGCCAAAATATTTTTCGACTTCTGCCAGGGAGACAGTTGATTGGTTTGGAAAAAGTTGTTCTGCGTGTGAACTGTGTCTGATCATGTTATGTATTCTTTGTTGTTCTTGGATTAATTTTTTTTCCGGCATTCTAGGATCGACAAGAAGAAGTTGATAAGCTTTTACAAAAAACAAGAATAGATATGGATGCATCATTTGTGCCAGAAAACCGGTCTCCAAAACCAACAAGTAACTCAATGTCTACTTCGCAATTTAAGCCAGCTTCTGATAATGGGCAGAACAGTGCTACTTCTGTTCCCTTGCAAACAAAAGGAAAGAAGAGGGAGCGTGGGGAGCAGTCCTTGGAGCCTGCAAAGCGGGAACGTTCCCTTAAACAAGAAGATGGGGAGTCCAGTCTTTGCAGATCGGAAAGCTCTTTGAGGTCTGAAATAGCAAAGATGACAGAAAAAGGAGGGCTTGTAGATTCTGAATTGGTTGAGAAACTGGTGCAGCTTATGCACCCAAACAGAGCCGACAAGAAGATGGATTTAATAAGTCGTTCAATGCTGGCAAGTGTTATAGCTGGCACAGACAAGTTTGATTGCCTTAACCGCTTTCTCCAGCTCAAAGGCTTACCTGTCTTTGATGAATGGCTTCAGGATGTCCACAAGGGGAAGATTGGTGATGGTGATAAATCTGCAGAGGAGTTTTTGTTGATCTTACTTCGAGCTCTAGATAAGCTTCCTGTAAATTTACATGCCTTACAGACATGCAATATTGGCAGGTCTGTTAATCATTTAAGGTCTCATAAAAACTCTGAAATTCAGAAGAAAGCAAGGAGTTTAGTCGACACTTGGAAGAAGCGAGTTGAGGCTGAAATGAATATGATCGATGCCAAGTCTGAGTCTACTCAAATTGCTTCCTGGCCATCTAAATCACGTATCTCAGACTCTCATGGAAGTAGAAATCTTGGGGGATCTAATGATGTAGCCTTGAAGAGTTCAGTAACGCAACTTTCGGCATCTAAAGCTATGTCAGTAAAGGTTTCTCAAGTGGAAAGCACTGCAAAGTCTGCTTCTTCATCTCCCGTTGCAGTCAAATCAGCTTCATCACCAGCCTCAGTAAAGGACAGCCAACCCAAATCTGGGTGTGCTTCTGAAGTTCCCTTATCATTTAAAGAAGATAAGAGTAGTTGTTCTAGCCAGTCTCTCAATTGCAGTCAACCTTTCTCAGGAAAGGAGGATGCTAGGAGCTCGACTGCTGGCTCAATGAGTGTTAATAAGATAAGTGGAGGCTCTCGGCATAGGAAATCTGTCAATGGTTTTCCTGGGACTTCGTTGTCTGCAAATCAGAAAGAAAGTGGAAATTCCTCTAATCACAGAAACAGTGCTCAGGAGAAGTTCTCTCATTCTGTATCAACGGGAGAGAAGGCTTTTGAGGCCCCTGCTGCTGAAGGGGGTACTCATAAGTTGATTGTTAAGATATCCAACCGGGGACGTAGTCCTGCACAGAGTGGTGGATCTTTTGAAGATCCTTCTGTTATGAGCAGCCGAGCTTCTTCTCCTGTGCTTTCGGACATACATGAAGTATCTGAACATAATACAAAAGAAAAGGGTGATGCTGATGTTAATGCTGAATCGTGGCAGAGTAATGACTTTAAAGATTTGCAGACTGGATCTGATGATGGTGATGGCTCTCCTGCTGCTCTTCCCGAAGAAGAGCAATGTAGGACTGTTGGAGATACTAGAAGAGTCCTTGAAGTACCCAAAGCTGCTTCATCCTCATCTGGTGGTAATGATACGAAGTCTGGGAAATTACATGATACTTCTTATAGTTCCATGAATGCATTGGTCGAAAGTTGTGTCAAATACTCTGAAGCAAACATGTCCATGTCACTTCCAGATGATATGGGCATGAATCTTCTTGCTAGTGTGGCTGCTGGAGAAATGTCCAAGTCCGACTTGCCTACTCCCTCAGAATCTCCCCAAGGATACAATTCTGTAGGTGATGAATGCACGGGTGAGGATGCCAAATTAAACTCATCACCTAAAGGCATAACTAAAGATCATTCTCAACCAAATTCTATTCACAATATGGACTTGAAGCAAAGTAAGCTTCCTGTTGTTTCATGTTGTAAAGAGAAGTCTAATCAGGCACCACAATCCTCTGGAGGTATGAAAGGCTCTGCTTTAGAAGAGACTTCACAAGCAACAGTAGACTGTGCAACTGAGGTGAATGATAAGGTGGCATCAAATTCCCCCTCTCCTTCCGTAAAGGCATCTAAGGATGGGGTCCCCGATAATCAATCCTGTGACCAAAAGGAAGTTGATATGAAGGCAGGTGGTATGCTTATTAGGAGAGAAGGAATTGTACGTAAATTCCATGGTTTGGCTATTTCATCTTTACCAATTGAGAATAAAGATGTGGCAAGCAATAATGTGCTCGATCATCATAATTCGACAGTGATTCCTGATGGGAATGTGCTTCGAACTACCCTATCCGTTGAGGATGCAGATGCAGAAAATGTCTCGGGATTAAGAGTTAGAGAAGCTGATGAAAACCATGGTAGCAGTAGTGCTAAACAATCTGAAATTGGAAGAGTTGATGCAAAGATGGATGCTTTGTTGTCTCACGAAGACCAGAAGGCATCTGGTTCCTGTTCAGATGTTATTGACCGGAAAAATGATTGTTTGAATGCCAGTGCTGAAAATGTTGAAACTGCTGAATCTCTCTCAGTTGGATCAAGTATCAGGAATGATGTATCAGCACCTTCCCCCAAGAATGTAGTTGAAAACTTGCATCTGGAAGAAGCAAACAAGGATGACTCGAAAAGAGAAATGGAGACAGAACAGGAATCACTTGTGGCCCCTACCAATTCATATAGAACTGAAGTTCCAGCTGAGATGGATCGAAAAATGCATTTTGATTTGAATGAAGGCTTCACTGGAGATGATGGAAAGTTTGGAGAATCAGTAAACCCTGTGTCTACTGCTGCTGCTTTGAATAGTATTCCTGCCACCATAACAGTAGCTGCTGCTGCGAAGGGACCCTTTGTTCCTCCTGTTGATCTATTGAAAAACAAAGTAGAACTCGGCTGGAAAGGTTCTGCCGCTACCAGTGCTTTTAGGCCGGCAGAGCCAAGAAAACTTCAGCTGCCTTTGGGTTCTCCAAGCGTTTCACCTCCTGATGGTACTGCTAGCAAATCAAGTCGTGCTGCATTGGATATTGATCTTAATGCTCCGGGTGATACAGCATTGGACGATCTGGGTTATCAGGATTCTACATCTGAGATCGGTTTGGTTCAGGATGTTTCCAATAATCATGATCGTTTACGTGGTGAGCTTACAAGTTCTGTGTCAGGTCGTAGTTCTGGAGGACTTGATCTTGATCTGAATAGGGTTGATGAAGCTACTGATTTACTACAGTGTTCAACAAGTAGCTGTCTCCAACTTGAATCTCCTTTTGTACCTCTTAAAGTTTCTAGTTCATTTGATAATAAAAGGGATTTTGATTTAAATAATGGGCCCAGTTTTGAAGATGCAGCTGTGGAACGATCTTCGTTTGCTCTGCATGGGCAGGGAACCACCCACCCAATAACCTCTCAGCCAGCTATTGCTGGTCTCAGAATGAAAAATAATCTAGAAGCTGGAAACTTCTCATCCTGGTTATCTCCAGGCACTTCTTATTCATCAATTACTATTCCTTCTGCTTTACCTGACCGAGGGGAGCAGCCTTTTCCGATCATTCCACCCGGTCAGCCGCAGCGAACCTTGGATCCTCCTGGTAGTAATCCATTTGCCTCAGACGCCTTCCGTGGTTCAGTTTTTCCGGCATCCCCAGCAGTACCCTTTGCCCCGAGTCCATTTTCCTACCATATGTTTCCTTTCGGAACTACTCTACCTTTGGCATCTGCTACATTTCCTGTTGGATCAACCTCTTTTATGGATTCAGCTTCTGGTGGTAGAATTTTTACTGCCCCTGCAAATTCTCAGTTTTTAGGACCTGTTGGGGCAGTTTCATCTCAGTATCCAAGGAATTTCATGGTAAGCCTCTCTGATGGTAGTAATAACGGTGGTGTTGAGAGTAATAGGAAATGGAGTGGCTCTGGACTTGACCTCAATGCTGGCCCTGGTGTATTGGAGATTGAGAGCAGAGAGGAGAATTTGGCACGACAACTTAATGTTGGCAGTTCGCAAGTTCTTTCAGAGGAGCAAGCAAGGATGTTTCCTCTTTCAGGAGGTGTTCTGAAAAGAAAGGAGCCTGATGCAGGGTGGGATCGTGAAAACTTGAGATACAAGCAATCCTCCTGGCATTGACGTTGCAGATAATGGAGAATGAGGATCTTAATGTAAGCATCTCATTACTGCTTTGTATCACACTTATTGATGTATGGGTCAAACTACCCTACTGTGTGTGTTATTTAGGTTATCTACTTTGATAGCTGTGATGTTTTCCTTTTGCCATCTCTTTTTGAATTTTGATGTATAGTTTAGATTAGAATGACGATTTAGTCTGTAGCCTTTGGTGCTTTATCCAAGAAGTGGTTTGGTTTTTCTTATGGATCTCAAGCTGATCCTTGGTTCTGATACCCATGTTTGAGATTTGATAGTTTCGGATTTGGAATTTGATAGTATCTTTTACTTGAATGTTTGAACTCACCTTTTATTGTTGGGTTAGTGTCTTTGATCCGGAATAGTTTGTTTGTTTTGCTACTCATTCTTGGTGGCTTATGTTGATCTGCTGATACTTTGGCTGATGGTTTGGGAAATTGTGATTGTCAGGATTAAATGTCTGATTTTTTTTTGGGTCACTATGGTAATTTTTTGAGTAAGAAATATATTTTGAGAAATGTAAAGTTGCAAAGGATTGATGCGCTAAAAAAGGTATTCTTCCATGTTTACATGTCAAGCTTGGGGTTTACTTGTCACCCTTGCAAGGACAGTATGGATTTTAGCTACGTCATTCCTCTTAACTTTACCTTGCAAGGTTCCTAAATGTGTCATTAGTGTCAATTTACTGAAGCAGAATTTGATTTACTTAAGTAACTTCTCATGTAGCTTTCTAACGATGTTTTTATGCTATTTTTAGCTATTTGATGGACATTGGACCTGGCAGAGTACACAGCCTACGTATCTTCTTTGGGGGTTTAGTCCTGGAGGCCAGCTTGTGACTGAGCACAGAGCCTCGGATAACTTACCTGCAGCTTTGTGGTGTCTGATTATGCGTTATCAGAAGATTGGCAAGTAGGTTCTCTACTGAGATAGTCTGTCTTTAAACTTTTGTCCTAAATCTTTCAGACGGATTTTATCATCATCTCTGTAGATATTTAACAGTTGGAAAACATGTTCACTGATAGTGAATATTGATACAGAATGCATCTGGCATGTTCTCATAATGAAATCTTTTCTGACCCCAGCTTTTCTTGCTGTGGAAGTTGATAAGAGTAGAAATTCTTACCTAATTTAGTGAAAAGGTGTAATGTGCATTGTTACTTATCTATCGTTTCTCTTTGGTCTCTAGTCATCGCTGTTGCACATAAATATGTAGTTTATGTAGTGAATCTTGGTCTATCCCCCTTCCATTTGTTATGGTTTTTCTTGATTTAGAGTTTGAAATGATTGTAGAGGGATTATTTGTATCTTAAGCTGTATCCTAAGCTAACCAGGCACCAATATGTAATTTATCTTTGATGGCACAGCATGACGTTCTTATCTGTATTATTCATTTGGTGATAATGTGTAATTAAAAACTCGTGTTATAGATTACATTTTACTTAAATCTGTGATTTACCTGTGGCAAATCAAAATTCAAGGAAAACAAACCCTTGCAACATCCTTACCTTGTACTTTCTTCACCGAACCTTCAGATTTTCAGACAACTGAAAGTCCTGAAGAATAGATGCTTGCTGCCGTCACCCGAAAAATTTGTTTTTGGTAATAATGTGTAATTAAAAACTCGTGTTATAGATTACATTTACTTAAATCTGTGATTTACCTGTGGCAAATCAAAATTCAAGGAAAACAAACCCTTCCAACATCCTTACCTTGTACTTTCTTCACCGAACCTTCAGATTTTCAGACAACTGAAAGTCCTGAAGAATAGATGCTTGCTGCCGTCACCCGAAAAATTTGTTTTTGGTAATATTGGATAATGGATACCTTATGGTGATCAATATGCAAACGGAAGTCTAAATTACAATGGTTGGACACTTCCCCTTTATTTTTCTAACATGCATTGTTGTGCATACGTATTCGAAATATCAAAAATTATATCAGTTGCATCACAAAACTTGCCAGCTATTTTATGTGTCGTGGTCGTATCACAAAATTTCAAATGGGCGTTAACGTGCAATCTTTCAAATGTTACGGGCATTAACGTGCAATCATTGGCTCCGTGTTTTTTTATGTTATACTTGTGTGATTTTTTTTTTGTGTGAACAGCAACAAGTGCCAAACTAAACTGAACTCTGGTTAACTCATTTAATTAATTAACTAGTTTTTTAAGTGTCACTTGTTGTGCGATCAGTGCACATAAACATTTTTTTCTCTATTGTTTTATATGAATTTTGGTATAATCCATCTTTTTTTGAATTTTTCTCTTTACGCTTAGTAGTGCCAACGAATGTATTCTTTCATGTCTTTTTAACAGCTAAGAATCCAGCAACTTTTTCATCTCCAATGCAGAATCTCGATCACCGGATCAGCAATAACGCAAATATACATCTAAAACATCGCTTAATTCTTTCAAGAAAGTGTGCACAAAAAATCTTAACTTGGTCTTCATTTTCATAAAAATTCTTTCAGGAAAGTGTGCACAAAAAGTGTTAACTTGGTCATCATTTACATAGAATCTACTATGCTCTTTGTAGCATCTGGTAGCTTTTGTTTAGATCCGAATATAAATCCAAATTCAGTTAGTAATTTCCTAATCGTTGTGCTATTTTGGTATAGGGCATAATCACATGTTGATGGTGAGGGGGTTGGGCGGCTGGGAGTGTAAAAATGAAGGGAGGGTAGCTTCGACGGTGAGTGGGGGTCATACTATTTACTGAGTAATCTTAAGAACTAAGTGACATTTGAAATTTGGCTTGATTAAAAAATATCAAGAAATGTCTGAAAGAACTTAAATCCAAATTTCAGAAATATCAAGAGTCTAGATAAATCTAACATAGCAACACATTTCCTTATCCCAATTTAACTGAATAAGGGCAGGTTGGATCAAAGACCATATGTTGCAAGTTCACTTCTTTCCACTCGCCTTTAGCCCCATGTGTCAACGGCTCCTTTTATCCGCTTTAGCTTTGAGCTTTTCAAGCACCAACTTTAAAGGGAGAAGGGCTCTCACGTTCGGTGGCAGCGTGACCAAAGCACACATTAGAGGCGCATGCAAGGATAATGTTTTCTTTCCAAAAGCGAGGTGGAGTTCAGGATTGGTTCTTTGGTTTACTAAGTGGTACTTATTGTATGGAGCCACTCTCATGAGCTTTTCTTCATTTTTCTAACCCAAGAGAAGATGGGTGAATCCATTGCTATTCATAGAAGCCAATAAAGAACCCTTGTCCTTCCATTGCCAATAACATTAGTTATGCTCATCCGGGCATACTACAATCCTCTTGTACAGATCTTTTTTTATCCCTGTGACAGCTTATATTCACCTACAAAGAGTAGGTTTCAAAAGCAAGAAGCAGCACCAAGAAAAAGATCACAAGCTTACTTCAATAAATCAAATTTTTGTTCAAATAAAAGGACGGAAAATCTCAGATTGGAAAATGCAGTGGAAAACCCAATTCCATCATAGCAGCAAAACAAATCTAACTAATGTACACATAATTTGGGTGCAAACTAATATACTGGCTAGAAGTAACTGGAGAAGCTAAAAATGCTAAACCAACTAAATAATATGGGGTAAATGTTATTGTGAAAATAAAATATCTGTGAAAACAAAGGCCTAGATTTGCATTATTTTCCAGCAAACAAGAACCAGAGCAATTTTAAGAAATACAATAATTACAAGCAAGCAAGAATTATGCCACAACACACACCAGTAGCGCATAGTTTGGTCCATATCATCCCTACACTCCATAACATTGGAAAAAAATAATTAAAACAAAAACTATTGTTTTCAAACACGGAAAGACAATCAAGCTGACAGTTAAAATGAATCTATTCCCTCAGAGAATGAAAAGTCAGACAAAAGCAAGTTTGAACACAGCTATACATGCATAACATCTAACTTAAAAGTTGAAACACCATAAAAATTGATCCCCAAAACCCAAATTGCCAAATCCAATCTCAAACTGGAACTTACTTTGTAACTAAAATCATGAACTAAAAGCCTCATAAGTTAAACCATCTAGCAAATAATGCACTCAATCCTATAATTTAAACCCTTGAACTCCATCAGAATTTAGCATAAAACATCCATGTTTGAAAAGTATAACATCTGTTGAAGCTTCATTCCAGATTGAGTGATGATGATAGCACATAAATATTTTTCTAAATATCACAGGAAGGGAAAAAGAACCAGAAGAAGAATATGATGGCTTGGAGATGCTGACTGAATCTGTTTACTTGATTCCGATGGCACATTTGAACGTAGAAACTGTGAATCTTTTTAAAGCACAAACCACAAAAGGTCCATTATGGTGCAAAATGAGATGAATGGATTACATGGTAGGTCCAAATGACTTATAACCAGATCTTCGTTCTTAAATAAATCCCACCAATTAGATAAATCCTGCACCATCTTTCTCAAACTTCACACCATAATCCTGACGATATCACAAGATAATTGGTTCTGTGTGAGAGGATGAAAAATATCGAATTTGAGTAATAGAATTATTATTTACAGTAAAAATTCAGGTATAATAAATAAAAAGAAACCAGATAAAGAAAACAATTGAAGTAAAATAAGCATTACAATGTATTATGTTCAGAGAAATGAGAGTGTCATAAAATGGGTAAAAACAAAATGGGACAAACATGAACTATCTACAAACTTAACTCAGTTCATAATCTCTTTGCCAATTAAGTAAAGAAGCAGAAACTATATTCTGAAAAAAGAATACCTGCAAGCCTTCTCTTTTAGACAGAAAAACTACATCATTGTACCACCTTCACCCAGTGGCCGCTTGCACTACCTTCAGTACCAAAAACCATATCAGGAGCAGAAAATTACAATGAAATCAGAGAATGAGTATGAAAGTCCACAAATATAGAAGACAAAACATGTGTCTAGTAGTCCATCTTGTAATGAGTTGCAGTTTAATGGATTTATAATACATAAAACTACTTGAGTTAGTAATATATATGCAAGTTGAATTCAAATTACTTGCGTCAAAACTTTTTAAATGCCAGAACAGAATAAATTGAGTTAATCCTAATTAGAAACATCTGTTGCTGGTATTCAACATAAATAAACAAGAAACTTGAAACACATGAAGAAAAGAGAAAGTACAACCGGACTAACCTTAAAGCACAGAACCCAAGACAATGTTCTTGTAGACAAACTGAGGGCATGGTCTAGTGATCAAGAATAGCGTATTGCCTTTAACCAAAATTAATTTGAAATGGTATTCAGAGCTAATTCCAGGCGCAAATATGACCTAGCACTATAGTCTGTCCACTGCAAACATAACAACACAAAGACCCAAATCAATAAACATGTACAGAGTCTAAGCATAAAAATAACATACATCTCCTTCTCTGAAGTTGGATCGAATTGAACTGGCCTCAATGATTTCAATTGGTGTTTCCCTGTAATTGCCAACATGTGGCTTCAGTTTTAACTCGAAAAATCAGAATTTTAATGGGGTTTATTGTTTTCGTTTTCTTCTCCTCACCGCTTGGCAGGTTTTACATAAATTTCACTACTTTAGTTTGTGCAGTGTTCTTTAGACTGAGTAAGATTTAAATCCGGAAGTCCCAAATACAGTTTTCGTCCCAAATATTGCTTCGTTATCCACTCAAATATGCAAATTATGATGAATATACATATGCAAACTATAATATAATAGTCAAAATAAATCAGATTCAATGCCTCTAGAAAAATTAAGGGCCAACTTTTTGTAAAGATTGTAAAACAAAAGCACCATGTCAGTAAACTCCCTCTGTTGCTTCAATGACTGGATTATCAGCTTTTGAAATTGGGACAACTATTCAGAGCTACAGAAGCTTCATACCTTTAAGAGCAGTTTTACATATAAGAGCAGTTATACATAAAAATCTCTCAAGGCGCAAAGCAATTGACTCCGAATCTTGTTTAAGGGTGCTTTTGGATCGAAGATAGGAGCAAGTAGAATCAACTAGAAGACCAATTCAAGAGAAGAGAGTAAAAGAGAGCGGAGAGAAGCATCGACCATCGGCATAAATTCGCAGAGGTTGAGAACAAAGGGGGAGGGATTTTTGCCTTATGTAGGAGTTTCAGTTTGGGAAGGAAGACGGAGAAAAGGACATCGTTATTACTTCTTATTTTTATTTTTGATAGCTAGGATTTTTTTTTCCAAATATTTTAATAATTATTAGTGGAAAATTTTTGAAATTATGAATTTTCGTTTTAACCCTAATAAGTCGTTGACGTCATATCAACCCCATCCGACGGATGAGATTGTTTTGACGGTGGTCCTTAATATTTCTTGGTATTATTTCTTGCTTACTGTGCCTTTTATTTCAGTATAAGGATTAACTCAATATAATGATTAAAACAAATTTTGTTTCAGGGAAAAATAAAAATAAAAACCCTCCATATTGTGCCTTTCGGACACTCCTCTCCCGCCGGTGGTGTCGCTCCGTTTTGCTGCCGATTAAATGGAAA